TTGACCTTAAAACTTGAGTTTTAAATTTATTCAAATTCTGAATAAACTATACCATAATCACCAATATTAAAAACTGTAATAAACACTAATGTTTTTTTTTTTTTTTTTTTACAGGATAGAGAATATTAGAAACTCTTTTACAAAATAGATATTCCACTCTCTAAATACTATTTAATTACGTTCTCACAAACAAAGTCTTCTCAAAACAAATTCCCTCAAACATCACGAACTAACAAAAGAGACAATTAGAAGTGACAGAAACAAAGGCACATGAAAAAGCATGATGGTCCAGAGAGCATTCTCTAATGTCGTCCCCCACCTAAATGCTGGACGCCTTCGATAGTAGAGATCCAAAATCATAGGCCATGACACAAAAATATAGCTGCCAAGAGCACCAATAACGAGTAACCAAAGATCAAACCCGTGTGGAGAAATAATAATGACTGAGTTGAAGTAGCAGAGAATAAATAATAGTAGAGGTGATGTGAACGGTGGTATAGCTTTGCAGCTCCTTATCCGTTGGTTGCAAAAAAACACCCACAAAGGAGACATTTGGGACCGACAAGTTTTGAACCAGAAGGACCAGGCAGGAAACACGGTTTTGCATTTGGCTGCATCAATTAATCATTGTCAGGTACAATTAATCTCTGATTTTTAAAATTTATTCCTTTATTAAGGTAAAATATATATATGTATATATATATTTGAAAGAAAAAGCAATAATATTGTCTTATTTTACTTGAGCTTAACCTATCAACAAATTTTGGTCACCTAGTTAAGATTAATTTGAATGGTTGCATATTAATCAAATAATGTGATTGTTTTACCTTCTTTTTTTTTTTTGGTGTATTTGCTAAGCAGATGGTAAGATTGTTAGTAAAATGTAAAAACGTGATGAAGAACGAGATCAATTTGAATGGTCAACACCTCTGGAAATGTTGGAGGGCCAAGTTGACACCAGAGCAACTGAAAGCGTGCTACGTCAGCACGGTCGATGTTTCAAAACTAACACCACAAAGCTTTAGCAGAGTCATTGAGAAAGGAGAGCACTTGTTCAGAAAGACTGCAATGGTATCTGGCTCGTCAAAATAACAAGATATCAAATGACATGCGCAATGCTACTGAGTTGAAGTAGCAGAGAATAAATAGTAGTAGAGGTGATGTGAACGGTGGTATAGTTTCGTCAGGAAAGAGGAAAAACACTATGCAAGTTGATGTCAAAAAGGTTGCAGTGTTCGTTGCATAGGTAACACCAAAGTCTATGGGACGCATGGTTGACAAACCTACACTGCTGTTAGTGGAAATGGTGTTATTGGAATTACCGTCTCCCTGCCGAAGCCCTCCTGGTGGACTAAGGCAAGCTTGGAAGCTGGCTGTTAGTGGTTGTTACCAAAAAAAAGAAGAAAAAAACAATTCCACCGAATAACCTATTTCATTATGGTTAAAACCCCTTTTTGGTCCCTGGACTATTGTACGGACCCCCTATTTGGTCCCTGAACTAAAAAAATCCCTGATTTGGTCCCTACTGTTTACCATTTTTACCCCGATTTGGTCCTTCCGTCAAATATCAACCTACGTGTCCCGTTTCTTGACGGAAAATGATGACATGTTAAAATATTTTGACACTTAGGATGCACAGTGTGACAAAAAAATGAGATAGCAAGAAAAAAAATCTTAAAAAATTTGTTATTCCTTTTTTTTTTTCTTTGTTTGTTTTTCCTTTTCCCCTTTCTTCTTCCTCTCCCTTTCCTTTAACCTTCTGCAAACCCTAACTCCTAATATTAAATTCGAGGATAACACAAGAAATCAACAGATTAAACTTCGAAACGAAACCCAAGGCCTCAAACCCACCGTGTGCTGGGTTCGAAATCGAACCCAGCACCTGCAAACGAACCCAGCACCTGCAAAAACCTAGCATTCGAAATTGAAAAATCGAACCCAACACCTGCAATAACCCAGCAA